AGTCAACTCATAGCGACCCTATGAATGAAAGTCCCGAACACCTCCTATATAACTTTCATCCTCTCTCCAGGTTCATAGGGTTTCCAGAGTCAAGCTATTATGGAAGTGGATTCCACTCCTGCTTCCAAGCTTGTTTCCCACCCCCCACCCCCCAAGCTTGTTTTAATCAGGGATCTTCACCAAACACTGTCCACCATGGGTAGCCATTCTCACATTTGGCTCATCAGTATCACAGTGTTCGGCTTCACAGCAACCACGAGTTATCTCTGTACAGCAAGTGGACATACCAGGGTTACACGACCTAGAAGAATGTTTCACCAAAAACAAAGGCAGGCCTGAGGGCTGCGGACTAGAGTCACCCACCTTTGGCTTTTTTTTTGGATGTTGTTTGTGTTGTTATGTGCCATTGAGTCGCTTGCGACTCATAGCACCCCTATGTACAAGAGCCCTAAACGCCTTTCTATCCTGTGCCAATCTCGCTGTCTCAAACACACTCATTCCCACCACTCCACTCACAGAATTGATCCATCTCATCGAGGGTCTTCTTCTCCTGCGCCATCCCTCCACTCACCCAAACATGATGTCCCTCTCCAAGGACCAGTCCCTCCTTGCAACATGCCCAAAGTATGTCAGACGAAGCTTCAGAATCCTTCACTCCAGGGAGCATTCCGGCTTCACCTTCTGCAGGACAAATCTGTTAGTTTTTCTAGCAGCCCATGATATAGTCAACACTCTTCTCTAGCACCACAGCTCAAAGGCATCAATTCTCTTTCTATCATCCCTACTCACTGTCCAACTCTCTGATGCATAGCAAGTAATTGCAAAGACTATAGCCTGGATCAGGCGCACCTTAGTCTCCAGCCTAACATCATTGCTCCTCAGTACTCTTGAGAGGTCCCTCACAGCTGTCAGATACTATTATATATATTTAAAAATTGAGACAGACTAGGAAGAAGGATTGGCCATCCACTTCGGAAATGACAGGCCTCCGAAAACCCTATGTACAATAGAGCACACTTAGACTATCATTTGGACTAGCAGACATGGCAATTGAAACTGAGATCTTAGAAATGGAAACACAGAGGAAGAAGAGCAGCTGTAAGGAGACTCTAGTGATTGGAATGTGGAATGTGAGAAGCACGAATGTAGGAAAATTGGACATTGTTAAGAAAGAAATGGAACGCATAAATATTGACATAGTAGGTACTGGCGAAATGAGATGGTTTGGCATGGGACATTTTGAATCAGATGATGATATGATTTACTATGCTGGGGATGAAAAGATGAGAAAAAATGGGGTCAGTTTCATAATTAAAAAAGTAATTTCTAGATCTATCCTGAAATACAATGTGGTGAGCGACAGGATAATATCCATATGCATACAAGGAAGTCCAGTGAATACCACGATAACTCAAATATACGCACCAACAACTAGAGTCAAAGAGGAGAAAATAGAAGATTTCTACCAACTTTTGCAGTCAGAAATTGATCAAACATGCAATCAAGATGCATTAATAATAATGGGTGACTGGAACGCAAAGGTTGGGAACAGGGAAGAAGGGTCAGTAGCTGGAAAACACGGGCTCGGTGAGAGAAATGAGGCTGGAGATAGAATGATAGAGTTCTGCACATTCAAT